GATGAGAATGAGAGACGCAGAGAATGAGATGGAGAGACCAGAGAGATGCAGAGATACACACAGAGACAGAGAGACAAGCAGAGATAGTGGGGAAGGGGCACAGAGACTAGAGGGACAGGGTCCCCTCATTTGTCTCTGTTTGGGCTGGGTCCCCAGAATGACCATTGCTGCCTCTTCCAAAGTGCCCTCTGCCTTGGGCCCCCACATCACCACCACGAGTTCCCACTCTGTACCCACTTGGGGTCGTCCCCAGAATCCTGTGCATGGAAAGTATGTTGGCTGAATGCTGGGAGCAGCGTTGCTGGGGGACTCAGACCTGGTGATCAAGTCCTTTGCCTCTCAGCTGTCAGGGGTCTCCTGTCCCACCTCCCGAGTAGGCGGACTTCTTAGAGTGGAGAAGGGATGAGCTGGACTTGTGGGGGTGGAGGTGGAGGGCTGCTCTGAGGGCATCCACAGAGGGCATGTCTCTGCTTTTGGGTGGAACCTACATCTCATCGCTGTACCCCAGGGACTAATCACACTCTCTCCTCACTCTAATGCCCTCAAAGGAGCTCCGACCCCCAACAACAGGAAAGCAGAGGAGGGGCCCTGCTGGGCGAGTAGGAAAGGGGGTGAAGAAGGCCCAGGAGTGGGCAGAGAGACAGGGGTTGAGGTGGGCAGACAGGGGTGGGCAGCAGCCTCTCACCTGCGGACGGCCCCTCCCAGGCTGAGGTGCTCTCTGCTGCAGCCCCGCTCACTGACCTGGGCTCAGAGTCCAGCCCTGGCTCTTCATAGCCCTAAATCACCCCCTGTCCCCTGGGACCCACTGGCTGGTGGCCAGTTCCCTGGAAGTGGGAAGGCGTCTCCCTTCTGCAGAGATGAACTAAGACAGATGTTCTCCGAATGGTCCTCCCTCCTCCTCCTCCACTCTAATCCCGGTGACTCACAACTCAACATGTGAGGGTCCCCTTTTCAGCCAGGAAGCCACCATGGCCAGCGAGGGTGGGGCCAGACCTTCCAGATGGTTCTACCTGCCCCTGGCTTACCTGTGACCATGCTGCGGGCCTGTGGGCCAATGCCTGGGCTGGCTGTGTGACTGGGGGCAGCTGGTCTGACCCCTCCTGACTGTCCTTTTTCCAGCTTCAGGCAGCTTGGTGCCTGGGTGGGCAGGGCTGGCCTGGGTGGTTCATCGAGGCTGCCACCTCTACCTTATTCCCAAGCACCCCTATCGTCTGCCCACCACGGACTTGGGTCCAGTCACTAGCAAGGCTTTGCAGTTGAGGTGTTTTCCCAGATTTTGCTCCACAGCCCCACTGGCCTGGCACGTTCTTTAGGAGAAGCCTTCTTTGGTATGGATAGTGCCCTAGCCTGTCCTCCTCTTCTGGCTTCTGTGTTCCTGTGGTGCTGGCCCTTATGTCACCAGCATGTCAAATAGTGTTTCAAAGAGGAAGGCCCTCAGAGATGTGGGCTGACAGTGGCTGCAGCAGCGATTTGAGCACAGCTGGGGGCGTGAGGAAGGCGCAGGCTGGGCAGTGCCTGTTGACCGCGGAGTCGCTGGGAGGCAGAGCTGACCCGATGGCATCGCACCACCACAGCATGTTCCCCTCACAGGCCACGCCAGCCAGGCAAGGCGGGGAGTCACTCTGTGGAGATGTTGCAGGTCATTCTCAGGGATTCTGCTTTGCATTTAATGCTTCTCTTCCATCCTTCGTGCAGCTGATTTCCATGGAAGACAGTTCCTGAAATTCTGTGCAGAAGTCTCTCCACCAGCCTTCCAGCCACCCGACCCTGGATTCCAGGACCCCACTTCCAGTTTACATGGCCCCACATCCCATGACCCTGTCTCATCCCTGGATGTCTTCCTGTCTGCTACACTCCAGTGACCAGCTTCCTGGGGACTTTCACGCCAGAGGGACACTCCATGACCTCCTGTCCTCTAGGTGTCCCTGGCCTCCTCAGGGCACTATCTGCTACCCCCTTCCCTCCCAGCTCCCCAAAGGCTTAGATCTCTCTCCTGCTCACAGGTGCAATTGAGGTCAAAGGTGGGAGGCTGAGGCAAGGAGGGGGAGTTCCTCAGAGAGGGTGTTGGGGACAACACTATCAGCAAACGCCTGCTCCACGTGTGATGGGGCTGACGTGGGAAAGGGCTGAGCCATGGCCTCCAAAGGACATGTCCTTATCCTCACTCCTGGCCCCTGTGTCTGTGACCGCACAGGACAAAGGGGAAGATGGGATTAAGGATGCTGAGATGAGGCATTATGGGTTCCTCAGCTGGGTCCTAAACCAGAGAGAAGAATCCTACTAGGAGAGGAAAGGAAGTGTGGACAGATAGAGAGAGGCGAGGGCAGAGATGAGACTGATGTTACCACAGCTGAGGAGTGCCTGGCACCATCAGGAGTGGGGGAGGCCAGGAGGAAGTGTCCCCCAAAATTTGTGCCTACGTGCGATTGGAAGAGATCCATATTTATTCAGTCCAAAGAATGGTGGCCTGACAGAGTGTGGAAATTATCAAACAGTATCACTCATCTCACATGCAAGCAAAATCCTGCTGAAGATTATCTAGAACTGACTGGAACAGCACCTTGACAGACGACTACCAGAAATGCAAGCTGGGTTTAGAAGAGGCCACAGCACTAGAGACATTATCGCCAATGTCAGATGGATCTTGGCAGAAAGTAGAATACCAGACAGATATTTATCTGTGTTTCATTGATTATGCAAAGGCATTTGACTGTGTGGACCACAACAAATTGTGATTAACCTTGAGGAAAGTGGGAATCCCAGAACATCTGATTGTGCTTATATGAAACTTATATTTGGACCAGGAAGCATCCCCAGAACAGAGCAAGGAAACACTGCATGGATCAAAATCAGGAAAAGAGTCTTCTCCCCATCTTTTCAATCTGTATGCAGAACAGATCATTTGGGAGACTGGGTTTGATGAGGAGGAATGTGGCATCATGGTTGGAGGAAAACTCATTAACAATCTG